AAAAAAAAAAAAAAAAAAAAAAAAAAAAAAAAAAAAAAAAAAAAAAAAAAAAAAAAAAAAAAAAAAAAAAAAAAAAATCGAGCCGACTTACCAAAAGTTCGGCTCGGGCTCATAAAAAAGCTCGACCATTTTATCTGAGCCGAGCTCGAGCTGAAATTTTGGGCTCGGGCTCGGCTTGTTGACATCCCTACTTGGAACACATCCCATATTATCTATTTTATTTGTAAATGTCTCATAAAGTTAGTTTAAAATCCATTAATACCACCACCATATATGAACATACTCGATATCGAACCAACATTAGTTACCATTTAATCCATGCATGTAATATCTACAAAACACACAAGTTGTTTAGCTTTTACTATAGCTAAAGTTATTCACTAAACTATTTTTTAGACGCTACATCCCATTAAATTATCGAAAATGTTATCATGATTAGCAGAAATGGTATATTAAGAAGGAAACACCTGCTAGTACACAAGTGCAGTCGGAAGTCGTTCTTCGATTATTGATGTGTATTTTTTTGCTATGATTTTTATGCCCCTTGTATTTTTTATTTTTTGGTATTTTTTCAATTTTATTATGAATTTTTAAAATTTATCTGGTTTTCCAATTGTTACATCTCGTTTTTGTTATCATGATGCTTTGACTTCTCTTACTATTGTCGAGCGTCCTAGACTAGTATATCGTTTGCAAATATTTCTTTATATTTTCTTTATTTGAAAATAGTTTTCGGATGATAACTCGATGTTTTATCTTCTTTGATGAAACTAATTACCTATAAGCATGAAAGGCTAATTGTTTGTATAAAAAAAAGGAATAGATAAGTAGATTTGTGATATTTGATTATTTGAAAGTTTTAATTTATTATTTTTAATATTTTGTAGAGTTTTATCAAATAATTTATAGGGGCCCATTTTTTAGAGTTAATTGTCCAATGATCATTTAACTTATGTTTTTGTTTTCGACTGTTTACTGAAATTTATAGTGTCGAGTTTTGATAACTAAACTTATCCAAATATTAGACATTGTTCACAAGCATAACATCAATTTTAAACATCAACGGAATTGCTGACGTGATTAATGAAATACACACGTGACATCTTGTTACTTTGTTACCAAATTGCCCGTAAGAAATCATCTTTCATTGCTCACTAAAATTTGGAAAACATATTCGATTGCTCACTATACTTTCACAAATTTATTTGATTGCTCATTGAATTTTGAGGTTGTCAAATTTTAGTTATTAAAGTTATAAGCCTTATAAATTTTGGTTATAGGCATAAGATCTTTCCTCAATTTTATTATTTGATATTTATTTTTGTAGAATTCTAAGCTATTTTCATTATTTGCAAAATTCAATTTTTTTGTGTTTCGTGGTTAAAATTAAATTTAACTATTGTGTAATTAAATAATTATTCATTGTAGGGTCGACACCTCGGACTTGTTACTTGTACGCGACACGTTGCTTGTAGTACATATTTTTTAACGAATAATAGGCCGACATCATTTGTATAAGTTTAGTGACCGAAATTCGACAACCTCAAATTCAATGAGCAATCGAAGACATTTTCAAAGTATAATGAGTAATTGAAGATGTTTTCCAATGTTTTATGAGCAATGAAAGTCACTTTTGTTACGTGGCAGATTTGTAGCGACATAATGGGACGCTACCTATGCATAGGGGCGGAGCCTTTCACAGTCCTGTGCAAGCAAATCCGCACTAGACTTTTGGCCCATGCCCATGCTCAATCTAATTCTTCTTTTTGTTTTTGTTGAAATATCGGGTATCTCATTTAGTTATAGCCCAATCCATAGACTAATGTACCTCAACCCAAAATGAAAAAGTTGAAACCCAAGAGAAAATTATAAACCATTTTCTTTTGAAGAAAATATTTTCAAAGTTCTTTCTTTCCTTAAATCCACAATTCATTGGACCCTCAAATTTGCAACAAAAATTTTCTTGATTGAATATTGGTAATATTGTGATGGATTCTTGAAATCTTGATTATTGTCAATTACTTAAACAATTAGTGTTGATTTTCTGATGTTCTACCAATTTGTAAAAATTAGTAGTTATTTTTTTATCAATTACTATTTAATTGTCACATATGGTTCATTTTTGCATGAAGTGCCAATGTAGAGATTCTTTAAAAGAAAGTCGTTTGTAGAAAATGTTGATGATGAAATATCGAATAAAATAGATTTTCATGTTACACAACTTGCTACTAATCCTAAAATAAGGAAAAAGATGATCATTTTATTAGTGTTGTCGCTATGTCATTTTTAACGTTGTCGTAATATCATTGAATCCATGATCGAAAAGTTCGACCTTAAAATTTTGCTCGCACTTGGACAAAATTCTTGGCTCCGCCCCTGTCTATGCATTCCGTTAGCCATGTTACCAATTCCGTTAGAAGTTTAAAACAAATGTCATGTCAATGAATAATGTCCAACATTTAAATAAATTTAGTGGCCAAAACTCAATATATTTGAAT